TGATAATTACCTGAGGAGAGTCAAAAGGATATCGACTACTAAACTTAAATAGAAGTTGAAATTTTTCCCCTTCATATAAGGTACCTGGTGCACCTTCCATGTCTACAATCCACCTAGAATATAAAAAAACAAATTGAAAACTTAACATTAAATGAAGTTAAGAGTGAAGAGGAAAAAAGGAAACTGTGAGTACTTCTTCCTCTACACCAGGTATTGGTATAACCAAAATAAAAATTCACTGTCACTGATTCAATTCAGATAACCTACTATTGGATTTACTGGAGATTGTCTGTCTCCTGAGAAGTAGGCAGTGAATACAAACCACCAACCTTTTTTGTTCTAAGTGCAACATATAACACACTATACCACCAGCATAGTTGATCTTCATAGCAACTCTTTAAAAAGGTAAGTATTAACATCACTTGCCCTCTACCCTCCCCCCCCTACACACACACACACACACACACACACACACACACACACTCCCCCTCTCTCTTTCATTGCAGTTGACTCAGAACTGACCTCTAGAGGGTTTCAGAGGCTGTAATCTCAAGGAAGAAGCCAGTCCCTCTTTCTCTCATGGAGCAGCTGGTGGACTGGAACCATAGAAATGCTGCCTTTGAGTGAGAAATTCACTACAGATTACACAACCAGAGCCCTCTTATCTAACATTCTTCCCCTCACCCCCAATACTCTTTTCTCTAATACTTCATGGTTAAATGACAAGATCAAGGACAGAGAGCTAGCAAGCAATAGGAAAAGTCAAATCACAGGTCTGAAAAAAGAAGAAATGAAAACTCAAACCTAAATAATGTGTTGACATCACAGCCCAAGTACTTGTCAAGCATACCCACTAAACAAACACACTGATGTCAAGTTTATTTTAATTCAGAGTGACCTTATGGACAGAGGGGAAAGTCCCCTTAAGTGTTTTCAAGGCTGTAAATCTTTAACAAAAGTAGAATATCCCATCTTTTCCCCCAAGTAGTGGCTGAGGAATTTAAACAGCTAACTTTTGTAGCTAATGGTGTATCTAATAAAACACTTGCCAAACCAACATTTTTATATGTACAACTATAGCATTAATATATTTAACATGTGTTACCATTCCTACTATCCATTTCTAAATTATCTACCAACATTAACAGAAACTGCATGCCCCCACCCTTTCCCCTCATTTTACTCCTTCCTCTCTTACTGTCTGCAGGGGAGTCAATTTTGACTCATAGTAACCTTCAATAAAGCTGGCTCATCCTTGCTGGGATCAGAATGATAGGTCTTTTCTTCTGTGGAGTCAATGGATGGGTATGAACCTTTGACCTAGTGGTTAGGTTAACCACTATGTCCGTGGAGGTCCTTTCCAAACCCTGATACCACTAATTAATTTTGGTTTGCTTATTATAGCTATTTCATGTTAATGTTTTAATATATTTGTCCTTCTGTAAATTGATTTTATTCAGCATAATGTTTTCCAAGTTCAATCATATTATAGCAGTTAATTGGTAAACAGTAATCAGTTCATGGATATTTCCACGGTTTCCGTATTCTGGCTTTTGTGAACAGTGCAGCAAGATACTATTTACAAGATAGGCATTCCAAGGTACTGTTCATGTCACTGCTTTCAATTTTACTGGGTATAGACAGTTAGAACAGGCAGTCCCTGGATTACAGATATCTAATTTAAGGACTACTAATATTTGCCCTGGAGAAGCTCAGTATCAGCTGTGAAAGCTAGGCCAGGAGCTGATTGTGGAACAGACCACCAACTACTCATATGCAAGTTCAAGCTCAAGCTGAGGAAAATTAAACCAAATCCACAGGAGCCAAAATATGACTTTGTGTTCATCCCACCTGAATTTCAGAATCATCTCAGGAACAGGTTTGAGGTCTTGAACACTAATGAGCGAAGACCAGATGAGTTGTGGGAGGATGTCAAATGTATCATCCAGGAAGAGTGCAAACGGTCATTTTAAAGACAAGAGGAAGAAAAGACCAAACTGGATGTCAGAAGAAACTCTGAAGAGTACACTAGAGCGTAGAGAAGCCAAAGCACAAAGAAAAATTCAAGATACTAAAGAGCTGAACAGAAGATTCCAAAAGGCGGAACAGGATGACAAAGCAAAATATTACAATGAAATGTAGAAGGAGCTAGAGTCAGAAAATCAAAAGGGCCGAACTCCTTCAGCATTTCTTAAGCTCAAGGAACTGAAGAACAAATTCAAACCTCGAGTTGCTATGATCAAGGATGCTTAAGGCAGAACATTAAATGATGATCCAGAAGTATTAAAAGAAGATGGAAGGAATATACTGAGTCGTTGTATAGAAAGGAATTGGCAGATACAGAAGAATTTAATGAAATAACATTTGAGCAAGAGCCTATGGTGATGAAGGAAGAAGTTCAAGCTGCTTTGAAGGAAATAGCAAAAAATAAGGTCC